CCATAACTAAACAAAAAAGAGTGGTAATAGCGCCAGCTAGAGTTGACATGACTAACTGTTATATACATGTATGATGCATGGGAACCACATCAAACACACTTTAATGAATATTTACACACGTAATATATTTCTCCATCTTGTCTAAACCACAGTATTTCAGGAGAACGCTATTATTGATTTGATATTTATTTATATTTCAGACTCCAGTCATGTCAAAATATTAGGTAGTTCAAACAGAATTATAATTTTCACAGCTTTACACAAAATTGCAGCTCAAAATTCTAAATATATTCTAGTACATGTATATGCAATAAAAACACCCATTTTATTATGGCATAATAATTGCAGGATGGTAGGTGCACTGTACACACGTGTTAGCTCAAAGCGTTGTGTCGTCACAGGAAGCGCTGTCCCATCATAGACCTGTGTCATATGACGCCTTACTAGCCGATTTTGGCTAAAATAGCGCTCCGCCGCCTCTTTACACTAGTGTTTATACACGGAACTTGATATTGCTTTTTACGGTTTACATGTAAGTTGCCTTTTAAACACATATTTTAGTGAAACATTGTTTAGGGAGTGAAATATTAATGTCATACATAATTCAATCCTTGAAACAACAGAAACTAACACATAATAACGATATTCAAATTTGTGTTTGAACGCGATAAAATCACGCGTAGTACGCCTTCCGAAACAGTCACTAGCAGCGTAAACTTATTGCTAATTTGGGCCCAGTTTGTTCTTACATGTTTTCTAAGTTTTATTTATCATTATTTAGTAAAAATGCCCCTTAAACAATATATCCGTAAAATACGTGCCAATCGACGATTGGCTTCGAAACGTTCGAAGTTTCGAACAAACTCCCGGCATACCTTGCGCGATATGCGTCAGATCGGTGTAGAAGACGCCGACCTGCATCGTCAATGAGCTCAAAGGTGATTTTAATGCCTATAGCGCCCTCCAGTGGCGAAAAATTGTATATTCTTGTTTATACAGTATATTGATTTTCAACATTTGATGATCTATATCTCAAAAAAGATCTGGTTACCCAAACATTTTATAATGTTGATTTAACACCTATTATACGTTTTATTTTAATTTAATATTTATTTGCAGTTTGTTAAGAGTTTTTGTAATAGCGAAAGCCCACAACTTTGTAACAAAAAACATAAAAAACAAACAAAATAATTTAAAAAAATAGTAAAAGTTAAAATAAATATATAAAGTACAATACATCAGATTGGAATCAGACTGGTTGCATATGAAGGTGATCCGCTTTCCAGGTGCCATGCTTGCCTCAAATGGAGGGGGTAGATAAGAGGGTGCTTGAAACTTAATACACCTGATACTCCAATTCTAAATTGCTTACATGGGGATATCTAACTTTTGCACATAAGACTGTATTAAGGCATAAGTTTACAAAGCTCTGTTTTGCTTGTACTAACCAAATATCTGTATATGAACTTTTCAATTGAGAAATTCATCAAAATTTAAAAAAACAAAGATATACATACAAATATAGAACCAATCATAAAAGAAGTTATAGATTCTCACGTCTCTGTTTTTATTATTTAATTGTTGGTAAATATCAAGCGAGGAAACCAATTGATTAAATAAAAAGCAAAGATTAGTCTTTTCTTGACTATAGAGGGCGCAACCAACGTAATTTATGATGAACTACAAGTACTTGATTATGTAGTGAAAAGCGACGTATACAACGCATATAAATACATTGTTTGTTTACACGAATTTCAAACACGCGCTGAGACACGTCGACCACCACCCTTTAAATAAATATTACTAACTTACTGTTAAAGAGGATGGTCGTCCTATAATAAACCAATTTCATACAGAGCGGCATTGTCCCATTGCATTTCCGTATTCGTTCACCCCCGTCTCCACGTGGAGACAATAAGCTGGAACATTATACCTTGCAACTTCAAGATGACAATCATGAAAGCGTCATGATCGCATAAAGCTTTTTAAAGTTGATTTAGTCGTGCCTTTCTAGGCTTGCTATTTTTAAATTTTAATTGAAACCAAAACTAAGCCATAATTTATCAATTGTTTTCTTTGGTATGCAACACTAACAGATATTTACTGAAATGTAACAAAATCTTTTCAGGAGGCGTCAGTGGGTAGAAGAATGTGTTCGTTAGGGTTTATAAAGTAAAGTGTACTATATATTTAAAACAACACATGTACAGTACACGTACAACATAAGAGGGTCGGCAAGGGATATTTTCGTAAGCTGTGAGCTGTTTTTATTTTCGCAATAATGTATTTTAAATTTTAAAACGTAAATTCGTAGACTTGGGCAGGTGTAAAATGTAATCAGCTATTTTATTCGTCCGTAATTCGTCTATATTAAATGTCGCAGTTCGTAAATTATCAAATATATTATAACAATGTTAAATGTAATTAGGAATGTGCTTTATGTGTAAAAACCTATTTTTTTACTGTAAATGGAACGTTCATTTTATTTACTGTAATTAAATTTACCTGAATATGTGAGTCCATTTCAAACTCAGTAGTAAAAACTAGTCTGACACGGCCGCGTGTGCTGCGCCCTCCGTGGTGCTTCATGTCAGGCTGTAGTGAAAACCAGCATCTTCAATCACTGTTAATTTTGTTGATAAATATTCTGAAGAATTAAAAAGAATAGTCTTAGTTTGGAGAAAAACTAATTGTAAGATGTCATTTATCACAATAGATAGATAGCGATCATGATATTTTCCAGGGCAAAAGATTGTTTTTTTGTTTAAAGAATTGTTAAAACGTCAGACAAAGTAGACAGTTGAATCTTGTTCAACACTAAAGATCACAATTAGAATACGAAATATAAAGCAAATTTAAAATACTGATAAATACACATCGTCGGGAATCACATTAGTCAGAGTTGAATTTGATAAATACTTGGTACAGTTGATTTGGCGTCTAAAACCAATTTCATTGATCGTCCCTGGAAGCGTTCCAGGATTTTAATATCATTTAACACATGTTTTGCCCCAGACAGTAGAACAATACGATAGATGTGAGAAACAAATCCTGGATAAAATTGATAAGAACTTATTAATTCTAGCGATTTACGCATTACTTTAGGAATCGGTGTTATTTGGGTAGACTTGTTAGTGTTCAAATGCATCTCTTTCTACTTGAAGTCATTAGCGTCGAATTAATTCGGGTCTCCACCATATGTTGTAAACAGACGTTGATATGAGACTCTAAGGCGTGGCAGAGTAAACATGCGATCAGCTAATCGCTGCAGTTGTTGGCCCGATCACGTGATTATCGGGGACGGGTCTTTGCAAACTTGCCACTATTGAATACAATTAGTAAGCAAACTACATGTATTTATAAAAGTCCTGTAATATACGTTTATAATGATTCTAAACAATCTTACCTTCTCGTGTGAACCAAATGTGCGCACAAGATGTCGCTATGGTAACACATTGATACTAATAGCAGATACAGTTTCCTGACTGAAGTTATTCCAGTCATTAACAACTCTGACTGAGAGGAATTTAGCTCTTTATGCGGGCCCAATAGATTTATCTATCCACAGATTCAGGCTGTGGCCCCGTGTAGTCAGCATGGATGAGAACGGACACGATGGGTAAAAGTACAAATAAGTAAAACAATGGTATGGCTAAGCTAAAAACAGAGAGAAAATCACAATACAAAAGAAAGATACAAAACTAGAAACTCGTTGACCGTCATTAATATCTAAGAGTTGATGCTGCAAAATTTCATAACAGAGTGAGACAGTAAACAGAGGTAATTCCCGACTTCAATATTTGTAAAGTTTGTCAAGTAATTCTCATTTTTTCTTTTTTGTTCTTTTTTTTTTACCCGTTAGTTTTTTTCTTACTGTCATGATAGAGTTTTTAATTTTCCCAATGTATTGAAATTGAAAAAAAAAATCATGCACAGCAGTAGTTTGAAACAACATTGATCAATTTTCTCCAGCCTACTTTTATTTTTTTGCAAAATACATCATATTAGCGTATTCAAGGTTTCTTTAGATAACGACTTCTTGCTACAAACCATAGCGTAAGTCGGGTTCTATAGTTTCAATCCAACGGAAATGTTGTATAAAGCTCATAACCACTTGTCGGAAGCCCTCTTGAGACAAACTTCAACTTTGAGAAAAGTTTCCAATTAAAGGTCAAAGGGCACCATCGTAAATGATTGATGTTGACGTCATCTGCAAGTCAACAAAATGGCGGTGAGAGTACGTCGGCTGTGTATTTGTCGTCTGTGTAGAATAATCCACTATATTCAGCCATGCGGTTGAAAAGTTTGACTGAGTTCTAGGATTTAGCCGGCGTTTGTAGGTGTCTGTTTTTGAAAGGTCGGCTGGAGGATCTATGATCATGGTTGTTCGTCGGAGCCGTGGTTATTCGCGTCAAGTTCTGGGCATTTCCATTGGATTGCTGTGTGGGTTTTTCCTCGCAACATGGCTACGTCTTCGATGGGTCCCATCGATGAAAACTTGCCACGATTCGAATATACCCGAGACTGGGATCGAAATGAGGACACTAGAACCCCCCGATACAGGAAGAAATTTCATATTTGTTGGCGTGATGACAGCGAAAAAGTATCTTTCAACTCGTGCGTCTGCAGTGAATCGAACTTGGGCGAAAACTGTTCCTGGCAAAGTTGTGTTCTTTTCCAGTGCCGATTCGAATTCCTCCCTTCGCGGTTTGCCACTTGTAAGTTTGCCTGGCGTAGATGACAGCTACCCACCACAGAAAAAATCATTCATGATGTTAAAATATATGCATGATAATTTTATCGATAAATACGAATGGTTCATGCGAGCTGATGACGACGTTTACCTGAGAGGAGACAAACTAGAAACTTTCCTTCGATCTGTAAACAGTTCTCAAAGGTTATTTATCGGACAAGCAGGACTTGGCAATGAGGAAGAGTTTGGCAAACTTTATTTTAACCATGGGGAAAATTTTTGTATGGGTGGCCCAGGAATGATTTTCAGTCGTGAAACTTTGAGAAAGATCGTGCCGAACATCAGCCACTGTCTTAAAAATTTATACAGCACCCACGAGGACGTGGAAGTTGGAAGATGTGTTAAGAAATTTGCCGGAGTTGACTGCACTTGGTCATACGAGGTAAGAAATGGACTTGGAAATTAGGTGTTGGTAGTGTTGTATCTGTTTAGTGTACTGTGAAATTGCTCAATAATTTAAATGGGTCATCTTGCCTTTTCTGTTGTACCGAAAGCGAATGACACGAAGTGTACCGTTTTGTTTGGCCTAAGACCCGGTGAATAGTTTGTACTAGTAAATTATGTCTATTGGTTTAATAAATTGAATGTTTGGCATTCGAAAGACAGATTTGTTTTGTAAATGTAGGATATGCTATGCTTTCTATCAACCGGCACGTTTTCGGCGTGTTTAGATTTGTACACAGTCTAAACAGTAACTGCATATCGAGTTACCACGTCGGTTGCCTGTCTGGTGATATTTAACATATTACTTCGCGCGGTTGATAAGTAGCTTGTAACTACAGTCGAATAGTTTTCGTTTTCTTGGAAAGTATATTTTTAAATGTCATTAATGTTCAACACATTTTGTTTTTGTCCCCAAAATGTTTGCAAGTCATGTTTGGAATGCAGGGTACTTACAGTTTTTGCTTCGAATGTGAATGCTGATATTGTAAGCAGTCTAAATTCCTATGCCTTCTCTATATGTGTATGCTCTAAATTCTTGCTTGATGACAGATAGCTATTGCTGGTATATACCCCTCAGTATTACACCATAAACTTGAGAGGTCAATTGGCATGTCAAATAAATTGAATAAATTGTTCCTCTGTCCACAGAAAGTAACCAGACACTATTCTTGAACAGTGGTAGGGAATGTTCATTGTTATTGGATTTAATGCCACATAAACACCTTGTATATTTACAGTTTTACTTTACACTCTCAATAATACATGCATTTTTGAAATATTTTACTAAAAGTTTATTCATATTGTTTAGGCTTAAGGACATTTGTGTTGCTTCCTCTGTCTAGTATGACTGTAACCATGAATGTCTGGGTGTGAGAAAATCATAGACAATTTAAATATTCAGAAGATATTACAGTGAAACCTGGTCAAACCAAATTTTGCGTAAACTGGAAACTTGTCTGAACTTCACACCACATTCTTCTCCATAAACTTAATTGAATCATAGATGAACTGTACTGTAAATCATTTAATTTTCATTGCTAGTGCTAGGAATTTTCACGATTTGAAAACTATATATAAATTTTGCAAAAGTCACAAACACTGTGTCATTAAATATTTGTAAACATTTCCATTCCATCAGAGTTTTGGGTGTGAGTAAATGTTGAATCACTATTATTGTTGGTAATTTTGAATCTGTTCTTCAGCTACAATGTGTCTATTATATTTTAATAAAGCTTTCACTGTCTAAAATATGGCTGCATAATATATATATATATATATATATATATATATAGCATAATCATCACAAACTCACAGTAATTACATAAATGTCAGATTTATTAATATTTTCAGGAAACATAGGAAATTAGGAAATGTCTTTGAAATATCTGTAGTTGTCACCATGGAGCTAAAAAGCTCTGTGTCATCATCAATAAAGTCGTTTTATACATCTTTTCATCCTTGAAGGTAAATATGCGACTAATCCACTGTTGTCATCACTATAAGTGTCTTTTTAATAAATGTAATTACTATTTCAAAGACAAAAACATATTCTTGTTAAAGGACAGTATGTGTTGGCCTTTGGAAGTGGCTTTTTGTAAGCATTCTGTACTAAGCTGGGTTTGTTTATTTTTAGTTAAGCTTGCTGTGTTTTCTCTCAAATAATCTCTTAATATATACAGTCTGGATGGCCTTTGCATTTATACTCAACCAATAGCTCCAGCTTATCACTGTAAGTGCTGTAATAGTATTGTTAGAAACTGTCTGTCAATAACAGTTGGATAAGCCATGGGTGGATAAACACTTTTAGTTGCATGGATAATCTTGTATGGTGCTCCACAATCTCTGTGATAGAGGGAGGGTACACAATTGACTCTCTAGGTACATATATAACTATATGTTCATACATTGTATAGCTTTTGTGGATGTTGTTGCATTATATTGCTGTCTTTTTTCAGTTAAGTTCGGTTTGGTTCACAAAGGCATGTAGATAATGCCTTCTTGAAACTGGAACAGTGTTCTAGTAGACTCATGAAGACATATCCTCCATAGTAAAACTGTTCTATGTTAGTTCTCTTTGGTATTGTTGAGTCACTAAATATATTACTAATTGTCTTTTTTTACTTCTTCTTTCTAATCTGGTTTATATAATAAAAATGGCACTGTGACATCACTTGAGGCATAAGATGACAATATAATCTTCAAAGGCTTTTTATAGCCTAGGGTATAACATTGTTATAACCTTTACTTTTATAGAAGTACATACATGACAGCCCTGTTAATAAAGTTGGGTAAGCCTATGATTGAAATTATTATTAAGATAATATGTAGTCACTACTTCAATAAATTGTATTGTTATCTGAGAATAAATGAAGCCCTGCCTGCATTGTTGTACTCCCATGGTGCAGCTTACTGAGATGAACAATAGAAGGATTATCTCCCTGCAAAGCAAGTCAAAAGCATGATTTGATACTTCATTTGGTATCACAGTTCTTTGTGTATCAGTTTTTTTGGTGTCACAGTAGCCTTTTACTTTTTACAACAGAAAGTTGTGCATGTAAAATGAAAGATAAGCATGAGAGCTTTACCATGTGTAGGGGTTCTCACTTCCCAATTATAATATTATGGTTGCTTGGCAACATACTTCTCCAAATGGTATTTTCTAAGAGCCTTCTTATCTCTTTGATAACCCTTCAATTCCTCCTATAAGCATCTATCCACAAACAGATATACTTATATCTGTAACATAATTAATTAATTATCCCCTTTCCCATTGTATTCATTACAAGAAGGATGAGGAATTTATTCAGTTAATCTGTGCCACAACTCTGTGTTAGCATTGATTATTAACAAGATTACAGTATACATGTAGATCAAAAATAAATTATAAATTCAAAATTTATGAATTCTCATTTTATAACATAATTACTTGCCTGACACACAGAATTAAAGTGTCTACATCATGGAACTCTACCCCACTAAAACAAGCATCAATTTTAAATGAAATGTTTCATGGTGAATTTCTAGTAACTGAAATGTGAAATTGATTTTACTTTATACGGTACTACTAGTATACTATGCTAACTTTAATTTGGTATTTCACCAGAGATACTAGATCCGTGACAAAAAACAAGGTTATCAATATCTACTAAACTGACTACATCATGAACTAGTACATTTTTAACTTGCACCATGTACACCAATTTATTCATTATCAATGAAAGGACCCACCTTAGCAAAAATAAAACCAAAACCAATTTTATGTTTGTAATTGTTACTGGGTTAACTGTGTAATTTTGCTAGATATTTATCAATGAAATTTGATCTTATTAACTATATTTCTATGGATAGCCATTACATCTTTATTGTAATATATGGCAACAGCTGGCACTTGTCACAGCTGTTATAAACCACTTCTGTGTTTTCAATAAGCAAAGTTCAGTTTAGAGAGGCTAACTCTAATTTAAGGTTGTTAACTTATGTTCTGAATTGATGTCACAAAGCTATATATCGTATTTGTTCTATTAGAAGTACATATACTTAAAGCCCTGTTAGAAAGATGAATGGTTTTGTGTGTGATTGGTTTATTTATAAATTAAAATCTAACTAAAACAAACAAATTGGACTGACATGTGTGTCTAATGTACATGTAATGCATTCTCTAAGACAGACCGGAAACGGAAACAAGACAAAAACAAAAGACTTTTCAAGTTAGCGTGGGGGAATTAACGTTGCTAAGTATTATCGTCAGAGAAAGCTATTGTTTAAGCTAGTCTGTGATTGGTTGCAGGCAATGTTTGGGGGATTTTGACCAGTTTGTGACGTAGGCTTGTCTTAGAGAATGTACTGGTATAATATGTTCATAATAAGCAATTAGAAACCATATAGTGTGACATTGTGGGGTGGTATTAGCCCCAAACTCAATATCAAAGCATAATCACTAATTTGCATAATAATGGACTTTTGATAATCTATCATGACAGGTAAATATTTGGTCTAATTAATTAACACACTGCTGTTTTAAGCCACTTTTATATTTACAATGTTTGCTGATCCATATGATTGCTATGTTCACAAAGCAGCATTCTATAAGAGCAGAACAACTGCTCCTTCCACCGACTAACAGGAGACTATTTCCAAACATGTCTGAAAACGAGTTTTGTGTTGTGCTTGTGTTGTTTCTTTACATGGCACGATGCTGTTAAGCTGGGAGAATAAAAAGAAACAGTCATGAGTCTGAGCATGGAACTATAAACCCCAGGAAGAACAACCACTTCGTTTCTATTGAACTATGATAGTTGCCGCGATGTTGAATGTTTATTTTGACTGTTTATTTTGTCGCATTAAAAAATAAGCCGATTTACACAAATGAACGTTTATCTCCGACTATCAGTCATTTGCAGAGTCAATCGGGCGACTTCGGAAGATCACGTGATCGAGTTGTTTCGGTTATAGCATAAAAAAACAATGGCGCCAAGACAAAAACACTGATAAATGAGCGACATTCAACGGAAAAAAAAAAACACATTGCCAATTCTGGCGATCGAAGGGAAACACGGAATAAGTCTGGATATCTCGACAACAAACAGCATACCAAACCCCATGTTTCGCAAACTTTCGCAACCTTATTTTTTCGAGGATTGAAAAAAACAAGAAGTAATCTAAAAACGACATTGAAAATTATGAAAACTCGCTAAAACTCTGACTCGTTGCATGATTTCCGGTACACTGAAGGTCACCCTGCAGACCGACTTGTTTGCGCATGCGTAGTGAACGAAATATTTTACTGCGCAGATATGAAATTTTTTTTTCAAGTTTTCCGTTTCCAGCAAAGCGATTGATACGGGCATATCGGCGGCAACTAACATGGAGTATGACTAATGTTGTGGAAACAAAAGCGAAAGCACTGTAAGATAAACTAAGACAAAGGTTTTTTTAATC